CCCCAAAACCCCAAAACCCCAAAACCCCTTTATAATGCAGAACAGTTGAGAGATTTATTCATGAATTATAATTTTGATACAAAGAAGCACACTGTTTTTATGTGTAAGACAAACATGCTTGAAACAATTAGAGCGTTAGGTAAGACTTATAACTAAACCCTTTAGTGGCTAAATCAGATATCCCATTACCATTCAAAAAAGTCCCGCTTTCATGACAGAAGCTGAAGTCAATACGGCTCATTAAATTAAGCAACCACATTTCAATACTCATCCCTCCTTAATCCCAAAATATACATCTACCACCCCCTCTACACATATCTCTAAGTTCTTAGTACCAAATGTAGGGTGCTGTTCTTACTAACACTGTAATCCACAAGCAATCTATGCTCCTCAAGCTGCTTTCCTGCAAATATAATCCTCTGATCTTCCGGTGCATATCCTTCTAAATCTTGCATTCTATACTAAATCCCATTTTCCTTACATAAATTTGACATCTTCAACTGAGGTTTCATAAGTCATCTGGACTTCATGAGTTTTCCCGGTCAGCTATTCCTCATTAGGCTCATAATTTGTGAACAAAATTGGGAGTTTTAGTAGAATTTTGAGGAAATAGAAGGGAATTTAAGGAAATAGATCAATTTTGGTCGGGAATTTTAGGTGTTTTGAGTGGGGAAAAGGGGTTTTAGGGGGATTCTGACGGAAATCTGAGGAATGAGGTTTTGGGAATTTTGGGGTTTTGGGGGTGGAGGGGTGGGGGTTTGGGGTTTTAGAGGTGGGATAAGAGGGATTAGAAGTATTTTGGTAGGATTAGGGGATGGGAAGAGAGATATTGGGGGAAGTTTAGTTGAGCTATTTTCTGGGTTTTTAAAATTTGGTGGTGTTGGGAGAGAATTAAAATTTTTTATATAAGGTGCAAGGAGTTTGAATTTTTATATTTTTTAGCCTGGAATGATACTACCATAGATTAAAGCACTTACTTCTTTGATATAGAGGATAAATCTGTGAGACATATTTGATATGATTTTTCAATAAATTAATAAAATCGAGGGGTTTTGGGGTTTTGGGGTTTTGGGGTTTTGGGGTTTTGGGG